GATCAATAGGAAACCGTTTGCATGCGGCTGCAATACACTGGTTCCAAGCCGAATAGTATACCGCACTGTGAAGATCATCCATGCGGGCTGGGTAAGGGTCTGACTTGGTTTGTTGGCGGAACACAGGCGCGTCGAGAAGAATATAGGTGATATTATTTAGGATGTGGTACTGGACCTGCACCTCATAAATCGTCCCCATAATAGTCACCTCCATAGGCTCAGCCGGAGTATCGACAGGGTAGTCCACCCCCCCAACGCAGGGGACCACCCAGATAAGATCCTGGTGGCTGAGGGTCTTCCCCATCAATTGTGCCATAACCCCTAGACCGCCGATTTTAATCTTGATCTCCCAATCTTCAATGTCATATTCCATCGTCGCGATCAAAACCATGCGCCTCTTTCCGGCTGCAGCGCTAATAATGGGATTGGCCGTCTGCAGCAACCCCGATTTGTTGGCCAGGCGCATCAAGGGGTTGAGTCGGCTGTATTCCCCTCCCGCGGTATGATCCTTCTTGAACAGTCGGCGGCGTAGAGCAATCGAGAAGACGGGTTGTTTCTGACTCGCACCCACTGCGTTGAATTTGACCTTATAAAAGGACTTCATAAAGAGCCAAGCGCAGGCTGCAGCCGAGAGCGGCGGCACGATCCAAAATAACACAAACATCGCGATCTGTGTAGCTTGATGTCCCACGGGAGAAAGAGAATACTTCATAGTCGCATCGTCGATGATCAGCTTCCAAGAGATGTAAGGAGAAGGGGGGTGCTCCGTGATATTGATCACGGTTGTTGATAGCGACGAGGGTGGCATCCGATCCAGGACCGAGTCGTTGTCCGCGTCGCCCATGACCCATCCCTCATCAGGCTCCCCATCTGGATTCATCCCCCAGATGCTTACCTGGCCATAGGCTGGCCATTCGTACGTGAAATGGTATTTCCACAGTCCATCTGTCGTATCTTGGCGTATGACGTTGTCCAGACCAGCATCATATCCATATTCGTTGTAGGGGCCCTCCCAGAAGAGGTGTGGAAAGCGCCGAGCAACTTGATGCGTCCACCCCGTGTCGCCTTCTTGGACGTAGTCACTGCTGCCCGTCCATCGGCTCCAATATTCAGTGCGAACGTGGTAGCCCTTCCAAGCTTGCTTGCTAGTGCCCGACCACGAGTTTTCCGTGATGGTCGTATTGCCCCCCGTATAGTCCATCCATTCCGAGAAAGACGACCCCCAATTCGTGGAGTATCGCCACTTGTCTGCGCCGGCGGCATGGTGCTGGATGTATAGGGACCCGTTGGAGAATTGGTGGAGCAAGCTACTGGAGTAATTGGCGCTGGGATATATCATCGGGTTGTCGATCTGCCCCACGCGCAGAAGGAAATGGTCGACCGCATCCGTGGTCTCGTTGTTGTAGGTATTGCTGGCATTGTTGATGGTCACGCGATGAATCCCATTATAGACGCCAGTCAGATTTCCCTGCCACACCCATGCGCTGGGAATATATCCAGCCCATGTGCTGCCGGTTTCGTTGAGCGTAGCAGCCTTGCAACTGACACTGTCTGTGTCCACCGAGGGAACTTTCCCTACTTCCGTAGAGGAGTTCAGTGAGATGGCACTTGTCACCGAATCGCAGTCCATCGCTTCGGAAAAGTAAAGCTTGATCTGGAGTGTTTCGTCTTCGTTGGCGGCGACGGTAGAGAGGACAGGAGCATCGTGGCCTGGGTAGAAGCTTGTGACCATTGGACGGGGCTTAACGAAGCGATCTCGCGGGACATATGCGCGGAACTCGTAGGCATCCATGGTCATATTGGCTAAGCAGCCGTTGTATGCTGTAGAACCGTTGATCGCCAGCTTTTGCGGGCTGCTGACCAGCTTGTGCTCATCGAAGGGATGAAAAAGATTCTTCACCCAGGTGCCGGTGTCAAACGGAGAGATCAATGCGGTCGAATTGTCGCTGCAGTCAAAGCTATACTTGATCGTTCGGTTGGTATTGTGGTATACCAGCCAGACGGGCTGGTTCTTCTCATCCGACCCTAAATCCTGGTAGCCTGAGCTGATATCACGCAGGACTGACCACAGCCCAGTCTCGGTAGCGGTTCCACTCGAGCCCGGATAGTAGACCTCTTCCGTGTGATTCGAGAGCTTGGTGAGGTTATAGCCATCGTTAAGCACAGGGAAATCCACGCGCATCTGGTACATGTGTTTGATAATATTCCGTGCCGGATGAGAGGGATCGCGATGGTCATAAGATACCGTTGGGTCTTTGCAGGCAAGGCGACCTTTAGTAATAGGCCAGTCATAGTAGGTTGAGGAATCTAGTGAGAAGCACCCATGCATCTGCCAGGCTGTTGCTGGTGACATGACCTGGCGGCCAAAGATGTAATTCGACGCGGTGGCGTCCAGAACATAGAAGGCCTGTTCCTCCCCCCACAGAAGGAGAGGAATTCCAGGCAGAAGTAAGGTGGTAATAAAAAGACCCAGCAGCTGGCGCTCGGTCCCTTTCTCCAGTGCTGGCCAGCGAAACACATCTTGATTGGTGACCCCGTACATGTGGCGAGGATCGAAGACACCGGTGTTAGGGTTGACCAAGTCGTTGGAGATCACCATCTCCTCCCAAGCCTCGATGAAGTCCACTGGGACATCATATCCCGCGGCTAGATTCCCATCCATACCGAGGAACCGCTCAAGTGCACGGTAAACAGAATAATGGAACGCTGCGCCATCGATCGCATTCATCCCCTCCTGCCGCAGGAAGTACTGCGGTAATGATGTATTGGTGAGATTCATTGCCACCTCAGCCGAGGAAGGGTACTGATCCGGCTGTCGGCCCCGGCCCAAGTACACAGATCCAAAGGTATTGCCACCAGTAATCTCTCCAGCGATGAAGAAGTTCTCTTTCCCGACTGCACGGGCGCATTCGCGATAGGCGGCCGACATATCACCAAGGGCATCTACGGTAGCCTGGGTTGCCTTGTCATAGCGGAATCCATCGATATCGAGCTGGTAGATGATCATACACGAATGTCGGATCAACCGCTGGCGAACTGAGGGATGCCATTCTCGCAGGCGATCCTGCACCGAGGCGAATTTGGCTAGTTCGCGTTCCCAATCCGCATACACTCCGAAGGCTTCGATGTCACCGTACTGATCGAAATCGCTGTCGTAGCATCCGACAAGGGAATCGGTCACCGTCTTCTGAACTGGGTAGCCATTCTCATACCAAAATCGCGGATAATCGCAGGTCTCATTATAGCTGTTCCCGATATCGAAATCCACATATCGACGGGCGCTCTTCCACTCGACTTGATGCTCCTTCACGGTGAAGGGGGTGGTGGTGTTCAAGTAGCCTTGGAAGCCAATCAAATCCCCCATGGTGGCGATCGTATTGTCGAGAACAACGTACATCCCTCGCTTGTGAATCTCCGTGATTGCATGTCGCCATTGTGTCAGATTGCCGTAATGGCCGTCGAGCAAGGTGGTGTCCAGCGCCGAATAACCGTCGTATCCCCAGGGCTGATTCATGAGAATGGTGCCGGCCAGATAGATACCCTAGGCGCCATTCGGTCAATAGTTCTCCAACTGACTTGGGCTTGCCTTCACCAACCTTGATTCCCATGCCCTGCAGATAATCCAAAGTGTCGATTAAGCCCGCGACATCTCCCCCGTGGCGCATCTGGGTCGACGAGATGTCATGTTCCCATACAGATTTATTGTAGTTGTCGTTGGTCGGATCGCCGTTCACAAACCGATCCAGCATCAGGGTATAGAATGGAAATCGCCAGTTATCCGGTGAGGCAACGTAGTCGCCCGTGTGATTCGGCCATTGACCCCAGTAGTCGGCGGGATTGGTGGCAGTTTTGTTCTCGTTGAGGTTGTACGCGGCGAGCGATTCATTGTAGGGCCAAGCGGCGGCCGGCAAGACTCCTACTAGCAGTAAGAGGGTCAGAAAGATTGGAACCAGGCCGGCAAGCGCCCACTTCATGTTTGCTGGGCAGCACAACAAGCTGCGTCTTGAGCAGTGGGAAAAATAGCAACCCCGATGCTTGTGAACCTGATCATAGGTGGACACGGTACTTCACTCCAACACTTCACAAGAGGCAAAAACAGTAGCAAAGGTTGGGACCAAGTCGGTCGAGAAAGAAGGTGATTATGTGCAGGGGGTGGAAACGAGTGTGGGAAATCAGGTCAGGCTAACAATGAACAAACAAGATGCCAACAAACACATTGGGGATGAGGAGTAGGTCCGATAAGCTCGATTATTTGAGATCTCGTCTTGCACCAGTCCGGTTTTGACTGGGTCGAGGCTCGCATTACTGATTACGAATGCATACTCTCCAGGCTGTTGCCACGACCTTTTTGGTGAGATATTTTTAGAGTGGCCTAGCGAAGTTGAGTCCTCGAATTGACTTATGGGTCTACGAGGAGGAGACAAGTAGCTAAAGATTCCTCCAGGACAAGACCGTGAGCGCACAGTACGTATACTTGGTAAGTTGGTATCCTACTTACTAGCAGTAGCCATCACACGCTTGCCCGCCCTAGTCAGGTACAGTACCAATCACATAACCTGGCCTTTGTTGCATGATACGTACACAGTCAAATCACTGTCTGTGCTTGGGAGTCCAGAAAGTTCAGGAACAGCGTTGCAGCGGGCGTAAATCTCTGGCCGGGCTTTCTGTTTTTCATTTTTTAGTTCACTTTTTAGTTCATTTTGCTCTTCCATAGGACCAGAGACCATAGTACGTATGCTTAAAGGTTTAGCCACTTGGCCACCGAAGCTTGGAAGTGGCAGTGAAAGATCTCGTTCGTTGCTTTTTGTTGACCTTTTTGTCCGGCCCCACTCAGGGCTGGGTTTTTGTCCCACTTTCTCCCCACTTGCAACCAACGAGGATGACAAGGCTGGTGGGGCGCGAACAGGGGCTTACGCAATGCTTTCCAGGTTCCTTCTTTAGCTTCAATATTACTCCGTTGTGAATCCGCTTCTTATCTAGTAGTCTAGTCTATGGACTGGTTAACTTACTGCCTAGTTCTGCTAGCAGCTAGATGGCTAAAAATGGACAGGGGAGCCGGATCATGACCACTGACTACTTTTCGGGCACGATGCGAGGTATACTAAGGACATCCCTCACACTGGGGCTTTTTGTCAGGCGGGCCCTCCCTTCACAACTTTCGATGATGCGTGGTGCATCTTGTTGACTTGACCCTGCCAGCATCGTCACCTTAGTCCTACTATACTATGTCCTTATCATTCCCTTCTCCGCGGTCACTTCATCGGACATCCTCAACATCTGCCCCCTTTCCCCGTGGACTGGACGATAAGTAGCCGTGTTCACAGCCGAGCGTGAATATCTCATCCCTGCTATCTAATCAACCCTTGCTGGGCCATCCTATGCCCAGTCATTGTGCAGAGACAGAATAGAGCCACAATGCTGCAGTCTATGGCTCTCGTGCTCCGGCAAAGCAACACGATCTCTCGCCTTGTCTACCTCTTCCTCCTCCTGGCCTATTGCTCCACGCATACCCTTGCGGCCACAACCGAGCAATGGAAAACCCGCTCCATTTATCAGACGATGACCGATCGGTTCGCTCTCACTAACGGTTCGACCACCACCGCATGCAATGTCACGGAAAACAGCTACTGTGGGGGCACCTGGCAGGGGACGATCAACAAATTGGATTACATCCAAGGGATGGGATTCGATGCCATCATGATCTCGCCCGTGGTGAAGAACATCGCCGGTAGATCCAAGGACGGGGAGGCCTATCACGGGTACTGGCCACTCGACCTCTACGAGGTCAACTCTCATTTTGGCACCCAGGAGGATCTTGTGAAGCTGGCGGAGGAGGTGCACGCGCGGGGGATGTACTTGATGCTCGATGTCGTGATCAACAACATGGCCTATAACACGGATGGGGAAAATCCAGCGACTCACATCGACTATACCGTCTTTCCCCAGTTCAATGGCTCCTCGTATTTCCACCCATACTGCCTGATCACGAATTGGAACAACTACACCGAGGCGCAATGGTGTCAAACCGGCGACAACTACACCGCGCTGCCGGATCTCTACACGGAGCACACCGGCGTGCAGGACACCTTGATGACCTGGAGCAAATCGGTCATGAGCAACTACTCAATCGACGGGCTTCGCATTGATGCCGCCAAGTCCCTCACCCCGAGCTTTTTGCCGACGTATGTGGAAACCGTGGGGGGCTGGATGACAGGCGAGGTCATGGAATCCAACGCCAGCATTGTGTGCAATTATCAACAGGAGTATCTGCCCAGCTTGCCCAACTATCCTCTCTATTATGCGATGATCACCGGATTTCTGAACGGGGAGCCGGCTTCCTTGCTCGAGGAAATCGCCACGATCAACCGTCTTTGCCCGGACGTACCGGCAATGGTCAACTTCATCGAGGACCAGGATGTGGATCGCTGGGCGTACATGAACGACGATATCATGCTGGCCGAGAATGCACTGACTTTCATGATGCTGTTCGACGGCATTCCCTTGGTATACCAAGGTTTGGAGCAGCGCATCGTTGATTCCAACCGAGCCGCCCTGTGGACCACCGACTACGACACCAACGCGACACTCTACAAGCTTATCACGAAGCTCAACGCCATTCGCAAGCACGCCATCAATCTCGACTCCGACTATATCAACTCCCGGACCTATCCCCTCTACCAAGGTGGAAGCGAATTGGCCTTCTGGAAAGGGAGCTCCGGGCGACAGGTGATCATGCTTCTGTCCACGCAAGGCTCCAACGGGTCGGCCTATGACCTGACGCTCCCCGTGAGCTATGGCGCCAGCGCCGTGGTGACCGAGGTGCTGAACTGCGTCAACTACACCCTCAACACCAACAGCGAACTCGTGGTCTCCATGGACAAGGGCGAGCCGCGGGTCTTCTTTCCCGCTTCGATGATGCCCGGCAGTGGGCTATGCGGCTACAATGCCAGCAATGTGACCTACTCGGAGCTCCGCCTGGCGGCCGTGAGCTCGAACTCTTCCTCCGCTGGCGGCCACACAGTCGCGTCATTGGCGCCTGGACTGTTTTTCGCTTCGCTGCTGTCGCCTTTCTTGGCAGGTCTCGCACTTTAGGCGGCGATATGGGCGAATGTCAGTCGGAATGCTTGTTGTAAAATAGCAGCTCGGCGAGGTGGGGCGACTTCAAGTGCTGAGTCCTAAATCTTGCTCGTCGCGATGGCTTGAGGACCAATGAATGGCATTGTTTCTCTTCAGGTTGCCAGCACTTCATCTTGGGGTCTGACACTTAAGGCTTGGAGGTCGTCTGCTGTTCCCTGAACCTCGCAATGTCAAGTCCTACTCCCTTGTTAGCTGCATCCATGGGGCTCGTATGACCATCTTCCTCGATTTTGTACTGCTTAGGCTTCCAGTGTGTGAGCAGTTGCCTTGACCTTCTCGCATCACGTATTAAACAGCAAAGGATCAACGACATTCTCTCTCCAGCATTGTAAACCAGTCTCTTCATGCCTTGAATATCTAATCCCGGTTGGGATAAGAGCGTGTTAGATCCCAACACACTACAAGAACGGACGAGGTATATGAACCACAACGAGAAGACACTCGCCACAAGAGGTATTATCTGAGCCACTCGAGTGAATGAACATCTGCTCCGTACAAGACACTCAAGCACCACAGATGTCGATTGCAAGTCATCTTTGTAAGATATTTTACATGTTGCAAGTACCCAGGGCGAGTTCCTGTCGTTCTGTCATCCACATTACTTCCTGTGAAGGCCCAAGAGGAAGATGTAGTTAATCCCCGACTGAAACGAATCTGGAGATAGGGTAAAACAAGGATGCGATCCCTGACAGGCACCGATGAACAGTACACCGTGGACCTTCCACCCGGTCTTTACCCCGGATACATCTTTGCTGACTTGAAGCATCATTACAGCGAGCTCTCATCACACCCCCGCTCGACGCAGGGGTGGTATCAGTTCTCCGCCCATTGCTATCATGGTCTTTTTCGACTCTGCCCAGCCCCAGCAGCCTACAGCCTACGCCTCACCCACGGAAACCTCAAAAATTATGAATTGATCAGACTATGCTGACACGGCGACGCAAGTTCTCAGCCAGACTGGACAACCTCCGTCATCCCATCGCCCCCAAGTCCCTTGGTTGGCCTGCCGCGGTCGCCGATCAGTACACGTAAACAAAGTCCTCGTTCATCCGATCCGTCACGTCATGCAGGCCGTTGTCCTGGTCGATTTCCCGGCGGTAGTCGTGGACCTGCTCGAGCTGGACGGCGTCGCCCTTGAGCTGCTCCTCGTGCGCGGGGGCCGCGGCGGCCCCGTCGGCGGCCGGGTCCGGCTTGCCCAGCTCGCGGCGCTTGCGCGCGTGCTGCTTGTTGAGATACATGAGGTAGAAGGGGATCAATCTGGTCTTGGTGAGTCCGAGGCCACGGTGGCAGGCAAGTTGTCGTCCGGAAGGAAGAAAGAAGGGGCACGTACGCAGACACACTTCCCACGGTCACGAACATGACCAGGTTGGCGATGAGACCCGTGCGGTACAGCGGGGCCTCGTTGGTCGAGTACAGCAGCGGGCCGATGACATTGCCGGCGCACATGCCCACGAAGACCACGCCGGAGGTGCACTTCTTCTTGGTGTCCCCGCCGGTGTTCTGGGCCTGCCAGGCGTAGATGAGCGGGGTGATGGCTGCCAGGGTGGAGACCTTGCCAGATGTGTCAGCCGTTGTTCTCGACTTCAAAAGGGGGTGGGGTTGGGAAAGGCCAAGTGCTGCGAGAGACATACCAGGTAGTATCCGAACAGCAGCACGCCTTTCTGCTCGCGCGGCACGGTGAGCATCAGGATCGTGCCCACGGTGGGCAGCACGCTGATGCCGGCGATGGTCCACCCCTTCGATCGGATCCGGGTGGCCACCCAGCCCGTGCCTAGGATCGACAGCACCTGGATGACTCCGAAGGGGATGTTAAAGAGGATGGTCTCGAAGCTGCCGAAGCCGAAGGAGCTCACGATCAACGAGCCGAAGGTCCCGATGCCGCCGCTGGCGATGCTGCATTGGAGGTCAGCGTTGGCATGTGTCACGGGTGGGAACAGGACTGTACTTACGAGATGGTGACGATGGCCACGAACCAGCCCCAAGTCTTTAGGTCCAGAGCCGTCTCCCACACGTGCTCCCAGCGCCACTGTCGTGTCGCGATGCCCATCTGGTTGGCGCGCAGCCGCTCCGTGGCGATGACTCGCTCCCGCATGGTGAGGTACTTGGCCTCCATGGGGGAGTCGGGCATGAGCCCAAGGACCACGGCGGAGTAGGCGACGGTCAGCAGGCCGCAAAAGAGGAAGATGGTCTGGTAGCGGTACATGGAGCCGTGCTGGATGTGACCGAGCCCATAGGTGAGGAGGCTGCCCACGATCGAGGTGACACCGTTCATCGCGTTCCAGTAGCTGGTGCGCAGCGTCTGCTCGCGCCGCCGCCACCACATCTGGGTGATCGCCACGCAGGAGGGGGCGATGAGCGCCTCGAAGGCACCCAGCACAAACCGCATCCCCAGCAGCGACCTGAAGTCGGTGCACGCCGACATGATCGACAATGCAGACCCCCAGAGAAAGATCGCTGCCGCTAGTACCTTGCCTGTTGGGAGCTTGACCAGGATCAGTGCCGCCAGCGGCTGCATCACCAGCTCCGCCAGATACAGGATCGACCCCAGCCAGGAGTATTGCCGGCCGTGCAGATGAGCATCGGTTGTTAGGCCGAAGATGGAGACGTAACTGAAGTAAGCGTCAGCGGCAGCGCGTGGGTTCACGGCAGACAAGAGTCCAAACACCTACCTCAGGGAGCTCTTGTCCAGCTGCTGGAAGAAATACGCCCACAGGATGATCACCAGCACCCGCTTGTCAATCCGCCGCACCACTGCCTTCTCCTCTTCGGGGGTGAATTCGACCTCCTCCGCGGCCCGGCTGGCTAGGAACTGGACAGCATTGGAGCTTGCCGTGTACGTCGGAGGCTCGACAGGGGAGATGTCGTCATTGTTCTGCGCCGTCATGGTGGTTGACGATGGTGCTGATATTGGTGGGATGGAATGAGAGAAGGAAATCCGCTAAGTCCAACCTAGCGGCGTAAAGGTTTTTGTACCTCGGTAGCCAGCCAGATGAATAATTCAGCTAGGGTATGAGAGGACAATGGTTTCTTATATCCCGGTCGTTCCTTCAAAGCCGCTAGACTGCAGAAATGTCTCCCTTGTCGGATCACGGGGACAGAAAGAATGCGGAGGCATGACAGAGGGAGGCTTGAAGTCCAGCTGGATGCCACATGGGACGAAGCTACTTTTTGCACCAATGGGGAATTTCGGGGAAGGACAGGGCGTAACAACGAGCTGACCTCGCCTTTAGATTGCAATAGATAATTCGAATAGAACATCCATAAACGAGTTGCACTGCGACGGAGGGGATCGAAACCGGTTGCGCGAGACTTCATGCCATGGCTACCTAGGCTTGGGGTACCCCACAGATCCGTCGGCGGTCTTCCGCATTCCATACTGAAGCTCAGCATTATTGTGAAAGCGTATTGTACTCTTCATGGTCTTTCTTCCGTTTCAGCCGTCGACATTTCTTCCGTCTAAATTACCCGCTTCCCCACGTCTTGCCCGCATTCCGCTGGGTGCTCTTGGCGCGGCTTCCCCACTCATCCTGGACGGATTTCTCTGCCCGCTTAGGGCATGGCGTTGTGTTAGCAGGATACCAGCACCAGCAGCATATCGCTTGCTACAACTAGTGGGAGCAAACGAGAGCGAAAGAGGGGGATTTGAAGGGATGGTAAAAATATTCTGATTAGCCATAGGTCTATCACACTACCTCTAAACGAGATTGCGGTCTATGTTCACCTCCAGGAGCTTACGAGAGCGTACTATCAATAAGCAAATGCATATCGTCAAGAAAATAATACTTTCACTTTAAATCACACACTAAAGTCTAAGATCTATGTAGCTAGCCAAATGAATCTAGGACAGTGTGAGAAGATCACGGACGTGGACGACCTGACCGGTGCGAATGGCACGGTTCGCCGCCATGCCGGTCAGAATGGAGGCAGCGCCATTGACATGGTTCGCGGCGCGCTTGAAGTCATCCTGCTCCGGGGTATCACCGCCGAACAGCTCCCTGAGCATGAGGGTATCCCCTCCGCCATGCCCACCCGCCGTCTGCTTGACCTCGATCTCCCGTGGCGGCTCGAACAGTGGGCGCAGCAGCAGGGTGATGCGCTCAGCCGCACCCTCTTGGGCCTGCTCGCCCCCGGAGTTGACGTAGCTGCTCTCAACGACCTCGGCCTCGAGGCGACCGCCGGTTCCGTTGAAGCTGATGCGGAAGCCTTCCCAGGGGGCGTAGGCTGTCAGGGAGTAGGTCAGGACCGCGCGGTTCTCGTAGCGGACCATCACGTTCATGGTATCCTCGATGCTGATGCCGTCGCTGAAGACGCTCTGGTCGCGGTAATAGGAGTCCTCGTGTTCCGCGTCGAGGTAGAGGGCCTTGAGAGTAGGGTTGCGGTCGAGGTGGAGGGCGAAGGGGTCGTCCTGGGCGGCGGGGCTGCCGTGGGCGCGGGTGTAGAACTGGCGCACCCCGCGACTCTCCGCATTCTCCTTGCCGTAGAAGCGCAGGTCGCCCTGCGCAAAGACGGTGGCCGGGCGCGACTGCAGCCACCAATTGACCAGGTCGAAGTGGTGGGTGGACTTGTGGATCAGCAGGCCGCCGCTGTTCCGGGCGTCGCGGTGCCAGCGGCGGAAGTAGTCGGCGCCGTGCTGGGTATTCAGCATCCACTCAAAGTGCACACTCGTCACTGTGCCAATAGCCCCGGACCGGAGGACCTCGAAGATCTTGCTGTTGTGCGGCGCATACCGATAGTTGAAGGTGACGCGCACATTCCGCTGCGTGCGCTCCACCGCGTCGAAAATCTCCCGGCATCGCGGCGCGTCAATGGTCATCGGCTTCTCCGTCACCACATTGCAGCCCAACTCCATCGCCCGCACGATGTAGGTGTGGTGCGTGCGGTCAATCGTCGTGACGATTATCTCGTCCGGCCGCGTCTCTGCCACCATCCGGTCGAAGTCGGCCGCCAGATACGTAGGCACTAGACCTCCCCCGAGGCTCTCGACCTTGGAGCGGGCGTAGTTGAGCCGGGTCTGGTTGGTGTCGCACAAGGCCACCAGCTCACTGGTCTGGCTAAAGTCGCGTGCCAGACTGGTGTAAAACATTCCGGCACGGCCCCCGGTTCCCACGAGGGCATATCGCCTCTTTGGAGAAGACGACACTGTTTGTGTCATGTTGCGAAGATTCGGAGGGTGGGCGGAAGGAGTAGACAAAGATAGAGAGGCAATTCTTGTCTTCCAGCCAGATTTCTTGACATATATAGAGCCGATATCTTATTTCTCCATTTCTCTTACGATTGGTGGCATTTGGTAAGGTCGTATGCAGGTTTGAGGGGGGGGGAAGCAGGGCATCAACCGGATATTTTTCAAATTGCCGGATGATGCGGGGGGCGGGGCAAGCGGGTAAATTCATGGGGAGGGGCCGAAGCAGTCGACCGTCCTCACCTGCTCTACCTCACAGCAAAGACAACTGACCATTTTCTGTGTTATTTCCAAACTTGCATGGAACTGGTGGAGGAGAACCATCCCTCGCGCACATCATTCGCGGATTCTTTGTCTTCGAAAGCGGGGTTGTACTATACAAACATATGCAGATCGCACGGATGGAGGATCGATGGCCAATATAAAGGCAAAGCCAAGAGTTCCTGGGCTCCGACCAAAGAACCAACAAAGCAGAAACTGCAGCAGGAGCCGTCCATTGACTCATCCATTCCAGTCTCGGTCATAATGATACCCTCGAAGACGCTCGCCCTCTTGACTTGTGTGGCGCCGGCTATGGCAGCCAAACCGGCTGCATTCTACTTGGCGGGTGACTCGACCACCGCCGCTCAGTCATCTGGGGGTGGTGGGTGGGGGGTAGGATTCCTGGCGACCCTCACCGATGGGGCCATTGGCACTGATCTGGGGTACAACGGGGACACCACTGCGAGTTTTGTGGCCGGCGGAGCCTGGGCGAACGTCATCGATGCCGTCACCCGCAGTAAGGTCTCTTATCAGCCCTATGTGACCATCCAGGTAAGCAAGAGCCCTTTTCCAAGAAGCAAGCAACCAGCGGTCATAATTGCATCTAACGGCCATCTATCTCGGACACTCTAGTTCGGCCACAACGATCAGAAGAATACCTCGGGGGTCACCCTCGAAGACTATGCCACGAATCTGCAGACCATGGCGGAGGCGGTGGTCACCGCGGGAGGAATCCCGGTACGTGAAGCCATCCGCATCACATCTTATCCCTCAGGGAGCCACACATTCATTCTTCCGCCGGTGACCAGATCCTGGTGACTCCAATCTCCCGACGCACTTTCAACTCCACCACGGGAACGGTGATCGAGGACCTGGCCACCCAGCGGAACATCACCATCACCGTCGCAGAATCCATCGGCGTCGACTATATCGACCTAAACGAGGCCAGCACCGTGTACCTGGACGCCATCGGGGCCACGGACGCAGCCAGCTACAACCGGATCACCACCGACTACACCCACCTGAACCCGGTCGGCAGCGTCGTCTTCGGCAATATGGTGAGCTGGCTGCTGCTGACCACCACCTCGCTGGCCGAAAGCCTGACTGACTACACCGTCCCCAACGCCGAGATCGTCGCCGCTATCGCCAATGGCACCTACATTTACCCCGACGTGTAGAGAGTAGAGAATGCGAGTGTCGGGAAGGTGGATGTCAGGTTGAATGGGAAAGTTTGACTTTCGTCTGGGCACATGGCAAGAAAGGTGTGCGGGGCTCCTTCGTGCCGCTCAGTTCTATACACCTTCTTTGTATTGGAAGTATTCGAGGGATACTGAGGGACTAGTACTCAATTAAACGATGTTTGATTTCTGTGAAGAAGCACTCGTGTAGTAAGAGCAATGCTTACATTTTCTACGTGAGAAGACTCGCAGCAGGAATCGTCCAGTCCACGCGGGTGGTAACATGATATCTTGAGGCTTCGGAGGAGACACGTATTGAACCTGCTCTTGTGTCGAGGAACCAAGACATCCGACTGTGTCATCTCGAACTAGGCGCGGGACAGCAAACGCGAAGAAAGACATAGAAGTCACCGAGCATGGAAGCCGTATCCTATATCTGCCCTCGAAAAGGATTGGGGTGCACGACGCCTGGGAAATTCTAAAGAATCCAGCTGTTAGGGTTGCGAACGAGAATTGTGCGAAACGGAGGCGGCAAGCTCACCAGGGCATCGAACTCCATCCAGGTCGCCGGCTCGGCGGCAGCACCGCTGCTGAGCTCCCCAGCGTCAAAGGCTTCGAGGCACGGAACTGAGATCCCCAGCAGCATGGCGTAGTCGGCGATAGTCATGTCGACCGGGTCAGGCGCAACGGGGACCCTCTTCGGGGCATTATTGTTGGCATGGCGCTCGATCAGGCGCAGCCCCTCCTGACGGAGTTCCTCCAGCACGGCCACGTACTGAGCCACCAAGGGGCTGTCGTGCACAAACCGCGTCAGCTGTTCGCAGCATCGCGTCGCCGCGTTGAGGTGCTGATAGTAGACCTCGACCGGGGCAGGCGCCTGCTGGATCGTGTGCACGAACAGCACCGTCGCAGCCGTGAAGGCATAGTAGCAGGTGGCCTGGATATGACTGATCAGCTGCCGGCTGTGTATGACATAACCCCGCGCGCGAAGTTAGGACCAACTTACCCAGAACGATCGGTACATTGCGCTCGTCTGAAACATGTAATAGATACGGTCGGCGATGCACAGCGCCGCCTGCAAGCACTTGCTAATCCCATCGTTTACCACCACACCACCGCCGCCACCACCGTCCCGCCCGGTTACAAAGTTGGTCAGCAGCAGCGGCCGATTGGTGAGGATGACCGCATGCCAGTAGGTCAGGTTCAGGACGTCTCGCTGTCGTTGCAGGATGGGCAGCTGCGGCAGCGCGCTCCCGCTGTGCAACTGCAGAAATCCCGGCAAGTCGTGACGCCACTGCGACAGCCGGTCCGAAAACTCTTTGGCCAGACGGCATTGGTCGGCCAAGGAGATGGGGCGGATCGCATAGAGGTGGCGCAAGATTAGTCCGAGGATTCGATGAAGTCTGCGCGGAGTCATTAGATTGAAGATGCTACTACGTCTCGAGGTGTATTGCCCTCCTACCTGTAGTATAGGACCGGCGCAATCATCACCGAGTAGCCCGTAGGCACCGTGGGCACCGTGGGTTGGAGGTCGACGGGCTCCTCGACGAGGCTGTGTTCCGCGGGCAGCTCCTGGTCAATGTCTTCATCGTGGAAGATGCGCGGTCGGCCCAGGGTCAGACAGAGATGAATGTCCAGGCAATAGGCGGTCCAGAAGGTGCGACGGCGGCAGTCGAGAGTGATCCGGCTCGCCGGACTATCCGCGGGGGGGTTGATGATGCGCTTCCGGTGCAGCCCTAACGCCAGCGCAAGGCGAGCAGTGGTGCCGAAGAGACTCCAGCAATGATTGACTCGGGACCGCGCCAGCAGCCAGAAGCATTGGTAGAGACGCGCCTGCACGCTGGCCAGGGAAACAGTAGCCCGTTCTCTGGCGAGCTGATAGTCGGCGGCGAGGAAGAACCGGATGCTAGTTTTCGGCCTCTGTTAGCCTAGACCAATCATGGGCTCGCAGCAACAATGGTGCCTATGTGGAAAGGAACCTTCTGTCTTCACCGTTCGAGAGCGGAGCTTGATTGAGATGCTCCTGCGCCATCGCAAAGATCATCCAGAGGACGGCGCGCCGGGCGGGGGCATCCACGGCCTGTCGCATGGAGCCCATTGTCTCGTGGAACTCGCGAAGCCACTCCTCGACCATCGGCTGGTGGACGATTCGATCGATAGGCACGGTAAATTCGAAGAACCGCCGGAACAGGACGGTGCTCTCTTCGACAGAGAGCATGACGGAGGGCGTGGGGTCGTCGTACTCCGGCAGCGGCGCGTCGCCAAATGTGAAGGCGGATTCCGAGCCCTCACTAGACCGGAGGCGCTTCCGCACACAGGCCAGAAAGGAGACCCCCGAGGCCGGACCAACGTAGTGACCTTCGAGATCATTGATAGCTTCCAGCGATGCGCGGGAGGCGGGTTCCCTCGCTGCGCTTACCCGAGTGTTCGCCCCGGCCAGGTCGAAAGGGCCCGGCGACGAGGGTAGGTCAGTCTGGGGTTCCCTGGCTTCCGAGCCGGGGTGGGTCTCGACCGTTTCCTCGATTGTATTCTGGTCATTACCCAGGGATATCGGGGTCGTTGCAACATCCGCCCGGGGTTTTCGTCCCCGTTTGTGGGGAGCGGCGAAGATGCAGCTCGTGTGGTCTCGGATGCAGTGCGGGCATGGCTTGGTGCCGGTACATCGGATCTTCCTCCTGCAGTGCCGTGCACTTGATCAGACATGCAGTTGGTTCGAATCGGAGCCAGAGAATGCAGGAACGTCCATGCATACTTACTTCTTGCAGTGGTCGCAAGCACGCGAAGCCCGCAGTCGCCGCGACAGCGCGCCAGTCGTTCTCGCCGGGGTGGGACCAGAAGCACAGCCAGGGATGTCTCCACGAAGGATTGACGGATCAATCCGTGCGGAATCCATCGGGTCGTTCTCAATCCGTGGTATATTTTTTCTTCGATGAGGATCAAGGGCGTGGTACAGGACAGAATAACGGCAATTACTGTGCAGCGAGGAAGGCAGCGCTGGCAGAGAGATTGTTTGATTATCTGAATACCCGCGGATTCAATGCCGCCGGATAATTAGAATGGAATAATACTAAAATAATTAATGACGGAAGACGGAAGATTGGTGGAAACGGGTCGGCTATTTGGATTTATTCAATTTGCAATTTGCATACGCATGCCAATGGGTCCTTGGGCTCGCTTAGACCTCTAGTCATTCATTAGTCTCGGAAGTGAGTCTCCATCATCGGGGATAACTGCCGTCCAGGGCCTGTACAGGAAAACCGGGGGAAACGTGAGGAACATCTGTGGGGCCCCAGTATTCCCCGTGCTAGTGCCATTTTATTCTGTCGTTATCACGAGGGTGGAGGGAATCAGTATAGAACTATCAAACTATGAGTATTACGACTATAAGACCAGGCTTGATGCAGCAGCTCTTCACCCCGGTCTAGCATGCTGAACAGGCATCGTTCTGGTCGGTCCTTCGTCGTTCGTTCTCTACAACTATGCCATCTTTGCCTGCAGTCGCCGTCTTCCTGACGGCTTTATTGTCGAGGTCGGCCTACGCCGCGACGGCCTACATCGACCCGGACCTCACCCCGTCTTTGCCCACCGTGGATCCGATTTCTTATGTTGATACCAGCCGGACGGAGTATGATCGGATCGTACTCAATGTCGACGGCGAGCCTTTCTTTTACAACGGGGTGCAGCTGCGCATCGATAAGATGAAGAACATCTGGAACATGACAGATGCGCAGATCAGCCCTTTCTTTCAGCGGGTCGCCAACGACGGATTCACCGTCGTGAACTCGCAAATCACCTGGTGGGACATTCAGCCAGACACCTACTACAATGCCACCGAGTCGACCTACATCCGAGGCGGCAGCTACGCGACGACCAATTACGCTGACGAGGCTTCGCATGCCATCGGCTACGACGCCAGCGACGAGTCGCAGCAGGAGCTGACCTACCTCAAATTCGATTTCACGGCCTATACACAGGACCAGTTCGATGCGGCCAAGGTACGTGTTTACGTCAATGCCGCTCCCGATGGCGATGTGGCCTTCTCGGCCAACCTCTACGGCATCACCAACAACACCTGGTCTGCCGACACCCTAACCTGGAGCAACGCCCCCAACCATGACGGCATTCAGATCCAGGGCACGAACGGCACCGACTACTGGTTGACTGCCAGCAGCCCTTCGTGGGACCCGATCAACGAAGCCTCGTACTATGATTTCGACGCCTCCGACTTCATCGTGAACCACTGCCCCGACGGCATCGCCAGCTTCATCCTACAGCCACAAGTGAACGACACCGCCGTGACCAACGGAGTCACCCTCGACGGGGTGCGCGGGACACACCCACCGGAGCTCTGGCTCTCGAGCAGCGATAGCTGGACCTTCGACCACGTCGACAACGTGCTTGACTGGGCGGGCGCCGCGGGTCTCAAGATGGAGTTCATTTGGTTTGGCTCCGACACGACCAGCGCCACGGAGGACTTCCGCGTCCCCTACTTCGTCTACCGACACGTAATGGTGCAGAAGGTGCAGTCGGACGGCACGGTGGTGCCGGTGATGCTCAAGAACCAGGGCTACGGTCAGGGCGTGTACTGGTACCTGACCGACAAAAACGATCTTGCGCTGCGGGCGCTGGAGAAAACGGCGCTCAAGACGCTGCTCAACCACGTGGCCGTGTACAACGCGGCCAACGGGGACCTGAAGACGCTGGTGGGGGTGGACGTGGCCAACGAGAACTCGGTGACGCACATCCATGGCGTCGGGGACACCGTCTACCACAACCCGCTCACCTGGGGTGCCTACGCCAATTTCTCCTCGCAGGCCGCCTTCGTCGCACGCACCGAGTGGGAGTATTCGGTCAACCTGGCGAACGGTGTCAAGGAGTCAGATTATCCCGTGTGGACACGGCTGAACACCTTCACCACCGCCGAGGAGAAGTCGATCGACTACAACGAGGCCCAGCGGTTGACGACGGGCACCAGCCTGGACTTCGTCGGCCTCGACCCCTACTCGACCTCGACCTCGGCGCTGTACGCCTACGGCCATGAGACCGTTGCCATCGGCGGCTCAAACGAGAACTGGGCCAGCGGGTCCAATCTGCCCATGGTGATGGAGAATTCAGGTGCCACCTCCTCCGCCGAGTCCCTGCTGATGGCCTCGCTGGCGGGCGGCGCCTTTTACAATGTCTACGAGTACATGGGCCCGGACAACTACGGCCTCTACTACCCCAAGAGCACCAGCACACGGGACTTTACTCCCGTCGCGCGCAGCTCCTACGTTGCTGATGTCGTGGCGACCAACAAGCTGCTCAAGGCCCTCTCGCTGGACCTCTCGGCCAAGCTGCCCGCTGGCGCCGGCGGAACCCGCCTCGTCTACTTCAACCCCTTCAGCAATAGCACCCTGGACCAGCGCAGCATCGGGGACTTCACCGTCAGCTACAGTCCCGCCTCCACTGGCGGCGTTGGTATTGGTATCCTCCGCAGCGACCAGACCCTGCTCCTGGCCAGCACGCGCAACTCCACCGTCACCATCGCCGGCCTGTCCACCTACGGCATCAGCGCCGTGGAATATGGCTACTACACCTCGGCCGGCAACTTCGTCGCCAACGGCACTGTCACCTACACCTCCACCTCGGCCGGTCTCACCGTCGCAGTGCTCCAGGATCAGCTGGTCCACATTGAGACGAAGACGGCCTTCACCTTGCCCTAGGGGGGGGTGTCGTACAATGGTCGCGGGTAGTGTGGGTGCCGGTTGCTCCTGGGAAAGTAGTAAGACACACGGACACTTACATGTGAAATATTCGTATATCTCCCGTACCGTCTCATAATCCACGAAGAACAAGCTCCCTCACGCTGTGAAAATAGCTTCTACTCTACGAGTCTATCGGTGTTGATAAGCTTGCCGGGCCCTTCCGAACCATCCCATAACCCAAACATCTCTCCACGTCAGGACGGCTCTTGTTGAACGAGAGTCTGCGTCTTCATGACGTCTTCACTTTCTACCTGAGATCTCCCTGCCTTTTAGATCCGACTCTAGGCCTGGCCGAAAAAAAACCATATTAAGTTCCCGAACACGAGCACATCCGTCACCCGCGACCACAGATAAGCATGCTGCATTATCCTCTCGACGGGCTTACCCCGCACCACGACGATGTCAGATAAATAAATACCTTCTCGAAGAATGTCTGTCCGCTCCATCGTCCGTTCCACCCTGCAACCGCGGCTACTCAGCAAAAGAATCATGGCCACCGTCGCAGCACCCACGCACTACGACGCCATCATCATCGGCTCCGGCCAGGGCGGCACGCCCCTCGCCAAGGCCTTCGCCGAGGCCAACCACAAAACCGCCCTGATCGAACGCGCCCATGTCGGCGGCTGCTGCGTCAACGAGGGCTGCACGCCCACGAAAACCATGATCGCCTCCGGCAGGGTGGCGGAGCTGACGTCGCGGGGCCCGCAGTACGGGGTGCATCTGCCGGGGTCGTCGCGGCGCGACGCAGACAAAACGAACCCGATTGTGGTTGAGATGGAGAGGGTCCGGCAGCGGAAGCGAGACATCGTGGAGTCGTTCCGGAGGGGCGGGGAGAGTCGATTGAAAGCCGCTGGGGTCGATGTCTTGATGGGGGAGGCGAGCTTCGTTGATGGGAAGACGCTGGCGGTGGCGATGCCGGATGGCGGCAAGGAAATGGTGACCGGCACGACGATTGTCATCAATACCGGGTGTCGACCGTCCGTTCCGCAGATTGAGAATCTGGATGCGATTCCGGGGCACAGGGTCTTGGATTCGACCTCGGTCATGGAGTTGGATCGCGTCCCCCAGCATTTGGTGGTGGTTGGTGGCGGGTATATTGGAGTCGAGTTCGGGCAGCTGTTTCGGAGACTTGGGGCTAGGGTTACCATCCTCCATCGCGGGACGCAGCTGTTGCCGCGGGAAGATCAGGAGCTGGCGAGGATGCTGCTCGATATCTTTCGTGAAGATGGGATGGACGTCTTGCTGGAGACGACGCCCGTTCGTCTTCAGCCGGTCACCGAGGAGAGCTTCGATGTTTCGATCAAAACCAAGCAAGGCGACCGTGTCCTAAGCGGCGCCACGCATATCCTTTTCGCTGCTGGGCGTACACCGAACACGGAACAGCTGAATCCAGATGCAGCGGGTATTAAGGTAGATAAGAGGGGCTATATCGCCACCAACGAGTTTCTCGAGACATCGGTGCCGTCCATCTATGCGCTGGGTGATGTCAAAGGCCCTCCTGCGTTCACGCACGTCTCCTACGACGACTTTCGCATCCTCAGATCCAGCCTCCTAGCCTCTCACCCGCCAGCTGCTCGACAGTCAACGAGAGACCGGCTGGTTCCCTATGTGGCGTTCACTGACC